CTAGCTAGGATGGCGCATAATAGGGTTGATTATTTTTCTATCCTTCGCCAACCTCCAAACTTAAATCTTGAGGGGGATGTTGATGAAGAAAACTAGACCTTTGTGCTTTGGTGTCTTGTTGTTGTTTTAATTGATTAAAGTACTGCATTCAAAAAAAATCTAAAATAGATAAAATCTTTTAGCTATCATTCTTTCAAAAAATTGTTTTTTCTATTTTAAAAATAATTAATTAAAGATTTTAAATTTAGACCATTCAAATTAAATATAGATGGTCCAGATCTGATAAGTTTAGGGTGTGGTTCCTATGTAGACTTCAAACAAACTGTCATAGGCCTTGGGGTATAAATTTAAACCATTATTACAAGGGAGAAGTGGCAAAATTACCTATTGTAATTTTAAAAAAGAGCACCATGTACTATAATAAAATGTTAGGTGTAAAATACACAGGGACGTTTCAAAATGGGACAAAAATACTGCCTTTGGCAATTCTCCCAAATGTTGGTTACTTTTTATTTTCGTGAGACCCACGCAATTTTCATGTGTTATATGCTTGTCGAAGTCAATACTAGCTCATCCTCACCCTTTTTCTCTCTCCCTCTTCTCTTAACACATAAGCCCTCCCCCACTCAAAAAATACACATGTTTGGTTCTCTGTCTCTTTCTGTAACCATTTCCTTCTATTACAATTTTCTCTCTCTTTATGGCGTGTTAGGACGAGACTTGCTCTGGTTACCTCCACCATTGGTGGTGGTGCTGCAGCTGCCGCCGCCACAGCCACCTTTGATGATCCTAAAACTACCCATAAGCTTTGCACCATTATCCCTTATTGCCTCATTTGAGGTTTCATCATAGCTGCTAATATCGCTTTCGGTACTCTCAATCTCTCTGAACTTGCATAATTGATTGGAGACTTGAGTTATCTTAGCTTATGGTTTTCTTTTTTAAACCTGCTTCCTGTCATTGATTCATTTGAGCTTAAGTGTTTCCCTTGGGTGAATGAATCATAGGATTTCTACTTTAGTTTCATTGACAAGCGATAATGCTTGTCAACAGTGATGAAGATGATGAAAATGACAATGAAAAGTCCTCGTCTAGGATTAAAGCATGCTATTTTCAATGAAGCTTGCTGTTGTGATGAAGCTCGTTGTTGTGATAATTTTTTCAATCTTCTCCTCTGGATGGGTGTGGCTATGGAATAAGAAATGGGAGAAAGAGAGTGACGGTGCTTATTAGGTAACTAGGAAAGAAAGTGTGAAAGGATAAGAGGGGGCGCAGAAGAAAGAAAGGAAGGATGAGAGGGAGGGAGATTAACAAAGTCCAAAGAAAGCAAGGGGTAGCTGACCTGGACAAAATGGATCCCATAAAAAGTAAAAAATAACAGATGTTTGGAAGAGTCAACAAGTATGGTATTTTTACCCGTTTTGAAATATACAAGTGTATTTTTGCGCTTAATATTTTTATTATGATATCTAGTGCTCATTTTTAATATTATAATAGGTAAATTTATCCTTAACCATTACTATAAACATGGTAAATTTAAAATTATAATAAGTAGTGTGATTGTTTTATGGTTTATAAAACTTTTTTATGGAAAATAGGTCATATTATACATAATTTACAAATATTTATAGGGAAAAAGACAAAAAAAATGATACTTTAATTTCAAAATGCCAGAAACGTCCGCCCAATTTGAAAAATCTTGTTTTGGTCTCATGAGACCAAATTGGGATTATTTTGTTAAATGAAAAGACCAAATTGCCTTGAATATTATTTTAAACAAAACTGTGGGGGAGAGAGGCGAGGGTTTGCGGGGGTTTTTCAGACTCATTCCCAATCCCGCTGAAGCTGACAAAGCGAAGAAGAGAGAAGAGAGGAGAAGAGATTGAAGGAGGAAGCCGCCGACGTGGAAGAAGAGAAGGAGGAAGAGCATTCTGTGGTCACCGTCAAAAAAGAGAAAGGAAAAGAGCGACCAAAGGGTTACGCTGTGGCAAATGATCAAGGGCGAGGAAGAGAGAAGAGGAGCAATTTGCGATGAGATAGAGGTAAGTTTGTGTAACATTCATTCTCTGTGTTTGTTGATGGGTAGTGAAGCTAGAGTCTAAGACATTATCCAACTGGCATCCCTGATTGCACCCCCACAATTTGTAGTTTTCTACGGAACCCCTTCCCTCAATGTGTGTTATTCTGTTTAATGTAAAATCTCGCATCATCATCCCAAAATAGAACAAAGTTAAGCAGAAGGTAACGAGGAAAAAATAGGCTCAATGGATATAGACACTTGCATATTCTTGAATTGGGTTCTACACTTTCCACAATACACTCACTAGAACAACCATAAATTATGAAGTTTTGCCCTTCAATCCCAATGATCGTAGACATAAAGATGGTGTTTTATATTGGATGTTGAACCTGTTCTTTGGAATGAAAGAGGCCATTCTTCATTGGGATTTTATATTGGATTTTGAACACTGTGCTTTGATAACACTTTTATTAGAACTTGAAAGGCAAAAGGGATGGAATATCAACTATTCAACATTTCATTATTAGGAAAAATTGACTAAAACCATTCCTTATCTTTTTCTTTTGTTGATCTATCGGAACATTAGGTATATTGCTTCTAAAAATTAGTTAGAGGAGAAGCCACTAGACCAGAACAAATAGCAAGCTGTGTAGATGTAGCCAATCTAAATGATAGATTGTATACTCAAACACACATTTATATGGCTATGCAACCATAGAAAACATGTGCTCTTAGCCCTTTGATATAGAAGTAATCCTCAATATAAGGTCCTACTTCATCAAGATGACAAAACTGCTTCACTAAGAAATACGAATAGATCATGAAGTTGTACTTGTAGGTAAATAGAAACATCACATTATCACCATCTAAGCTTGATCATCAATCTACTTGTCTTCCACATAATTACTTATGGTAGTTGCTTCCCTACCATCACCACCATTTGTTGGAGGTTGAACTTGTTCATCCTCAAGTAGTGGCTCCTCCATATAGTCATTTTCAAATGCATTAGGTAGAACCTTATATATCCTTACTTGAGGCTTAGATGGATCCTTCACGAAAACATACTTGCCGTCATTCAATTTCATGCACAAGTCCACAATAGAATTCACAATTCCCCACATATCATATGTGTTCAAATTAATTTGGGTTGCAGAGCTTGGACAGTCCACTAAGCCAACTTATTTATGTTATTCTTCAGCTCTGTCGCCAACATTGCAACCCTCTGTGTCTCCAACTTCTGTCTCCAGTGAGAAAGGTGATGCTATGTCTCCAACTACTATCAATAGCACAAATATTTATCTTCAAATTAAAACTTATATGTCCTTGTTGTTTACTTGTTCATGTGTTCTGCTTGCTCCGTGTCTTTCTCTGTTGGAGTTATATTTGCCAGTGTATATTTTAATGTAGGATTAATATACATTCAGAACCTTACCCTGTATAATTGTGTCATTATCAATCACAAGTTCCTAACTTTTATTATATTTTTAATATTCCTCAAATGAAACCCATGTGAAGTGATTAATTCCACTCTTAATTATGAAAGTTTACAAATGACCTTTTAGATAACTAGTACTTCCTTGAACTATGAATTATCAAAATAGTTTATGTCGTTTGGATGTTTGGATTGGATCTATTTGAATCGTATGAATGAAAGCTTGTGAATCATGTTGTTCTGAAAAAATGCCTTATAACCACACTTTTAAGTTTGTAAGATTTTGCCTAATGCTTTTTAGCTTATAACCCCACCCTCAATAACTGTTTTCTGATATGCTTTTATTAATGTGTAATGTGTAGAAAAAATGGTGTTGGAGGGAGAGACATCAACTTCAAAAGGGCCAAGGAATGGGTATGTCTTATTTAGAGAGGAATTTGCAAAAGGGTAAAAATTCAAAGGTGTAGTAGATAGAACTAATAAGGCGAAAGATGCATGGGCAAGGCTATCTATCAAAGAGAAGAAAATATATAGTGAAAGTGCCAAACAAATGATGTCAGAGAAGAAGAAAAGTAAGAGAATATAGAAAATGTTCACCCGTTATTCTGTTCGTCAATTCATGTCACTGGTGGAATTTGTTAAAAGTGATGAAAGTTTAAGACAAGGGATAGAGAATATAGGATTCTCTAAGTTGTTGAATGTGAATTGTGACAGACTCCCACGTGAGTTAATTGTAACTTTCATTCAATCATACGATCCACCACACATCAATTCCGATTAAGGGGGAGGACAAAAGAAATTGAGGCAAATGATGTGGGAACATTGCTTGGTGTGCCCTATACTGGGCAAGAGGTAAAAAGAGATGTTGATGAAAATCATGACACATATAAGAAGGTGAGGAGAAAGTATGGTAACGTTGTATATAGCAAGATATTAGCTGACATAAAAAGTAGAAAGGATGATGAGCACTTTGAATTATTATTTATGTTGGTCACACTTGGGACATTTCTAGCCCCAACTTCAAGTGCAAAAGTTGGTGACAAGTTATTAAGGGTGATCTGTTCAAATATGAATGGATATGAAGAGTATGATTGGGTGACGTACATCATGAATGATCTCTACAAGAAAATCGAAGATTATGTGAATTTGTTGAGGAAGGAGAGGGATCTGTGTTGCACTGTGGGTGGATGCCTATACTTCTTGCTAGTATGTTTATAGTTAAACATGTTGTTAAATATTGATAGTGGTTGTAGCTATATTTAGGTGAGAAATTCCCATTGTCAAAAGCTATTAACCATGACTCGGCAAATGCTATTGCATATTGGACGGATGAGAGAATAAAGGAATTAGTCAACAAAGAGTCAAAGAGTAACATAGGCCTATTGTACAAAGGGAAGTCTAAAAAAATACAGGAAGATACAATAAGTGTTGCTTATCTACGGCCGGTATGTTTGTAGTTTTGTAAGTATAAACTTCATTAGTATGTAATGAGTTTAACCGTTTAACAAATGTGTTACGCAAGAATTAAAGGAAGTGCATCGAAGGATAATGGATGTACTTGAGGAAAGCCATAAAAGGCTTAGTAACCAATTTGCAAAGGAGCTTACGAAGGTGCAACTCCATCTACAGGGGATGCGAAGTTCAAATCTGAAGAATCCTGTTGACAACACAAGCAATGAGGCAGTGATTCTTCCATCTGATGGTAAAGGTAACGAACAAGGTAGTGACAAAGGTGATAGTGATGGAGATACTATTGAAGATGAAGCTCATGATCAGAAAGGAGGTAGTGATGAAGGTGATGATGATGGAGAGGAAGGAGACAGTGAGAAAGGTGATGCTAATGGAGATAAAGTTGATGATAACAGTAATGATGATGATGGAGGGGATGAAATGATTGACAGATCACCCACCAATGTTGTGTAATGTGTATGATGAAGGAGATAAAGGAGTGGAGTCGTCAGATGAAGAGACTAACAAGGGAGAAGACTGAAGGACATCAAAGAGAACAATCATACCAAGTCATCAAATAACTTCTCTGTGAATTTCCATGTTGAAGCTCGTTAAGAGGAGAAAGAGAGTGATGACTGAGAAGGACAAGTTTTTCAACATTGTCTCTCACATGTGTTCACAGGAGGAGGGTCAGAAGTAAGATATGCAGTGCAATTTACATTGGAAGTAGGAAAGTTTTTTCATGTTATTTTGTTATTGCTGTTCGACTTACCTATGACGTACACATTACAGGGTAATGGTTACAATGTGTGATGAACAAATTGATCGAGATTAGTTGTGTATGATAGGTGAAATCAAAAGAGTGAGTAGCCCTCTAATAACAATGGTCAGTAGGACATTGATGGCAGAGGCAGGTGAGAGAGGACAAGTGAGGCGACACATTTTTGATGCTGAATTCATGGTGAGCTCTGTGGTATCTATGTTTTTTTTTTTTTTACAATTAGGGGTTGTAATGGTTAAACTAATATGTTGTTTTGCAGATGAAAATGCTTGGTAACCCTTCACAGTGGCAAGCATCAGAGAACAAACATGCAATTTTGCCACAGCATATCGGGTACAACCTAGCTGACTGTGATTTAATATTTGGACCCGTAATTGTTGAGTCTCACTGGTTTTGCTTTGTGTTGGATCCAAAAACCATGCATTTTGATGTCCTGGATTCCATGAGGCTGACTAATGATATGCTAAAAAAGACCAAAAAAAAGGATTCGTTGGAAGAAAAAAGGATGTTTCATTTTTATGCGCGTGTAAGGACTAAACTAATGTAGCTACGTATCACAAGTTTCCAATGTTTCCACCACCAGCATACTCATATTTTGGATTTCTGTTTTTTTGTTTGCAGAGAGACAGCTTTTATGACATAATTGCATTAGTCAGACCTGAACTTGTTGGGAAGAAGCCTAAGAATGATATTGTTTTTCCACTTGTGTCACAACAAAACAATTTGTATGTTGTGTTAACTGTTGACATTGTTTTCTAATTTAAGATGTGAATTGGAGAAGCGATCGTACTAACTAAAATGTTTTATTTCCCATTGGCTATATAGGAAAAATTGTGGCATTCATGTGTTGATCTGGCTAATCAAATGGGTCCCGAAGGTGACATTTGACTTCAATGAGGTATGAAAGCTATGGTGGATACTAACATGTGCACTTGTCTTATATGCAGAATCATATATTTGAGTTTAGGCATGATCTAATGTGGTGGCTAGTTACTCATCCGCTGAATTCAAATCGACAAGAAGCCTTAACTCTCCTTTCAAAGCAGCAGAAAAAGACAACCACAAAAAGACGACGTTTGTCATAGTACTTATTAAGAGGTTCCTTGTGCATGTTTATGTGATAATCTGATGTGGTTGCATCTTATTTAACTTTAGAGAAGATTTATGTACATGGCAAAAGGGCTGATTCAACAGGTTCCAAATTTCGGGCAGATTATGTGCAGAAAATAGATTCAGTGCAGGATGAGATGCGAAGTCAGTCTCTAAACTTGATGTTCAGCTCTATGGCATCAAATTCATTATTAGCCAATTTCATATTTTAATCACTGGGGCTTCCCCCGTCTAAGGTTTTTGAACTTGTGGTTTTATAGGTGTGAAATAGGTCTGCAAATAGCTCAAAACCTGTTCGTTCATGCATTTATTTTTTCTTGCTGACAATAACTTTTTACTGATTTGACTTCCACACGTGCAAACCTTCTTTAGTTTTCAATTAATCTTAAGGAAGATTAACTTTCCACTCAATATTATTAATTCAACTAGCATGCAAGATTTTGTGCATTTGTGTTATAATTGTCAGAACACTTAAGTTTAAAGAATGAATCTAGCTGTTTAATGCGAGTTGGTGATTCCTATTTTCCTTCAATAAAGCTGGGGCTTCACTTCTCAGCCTGGTACTTGAGGCTAACTTCATAATTCACATAAATTGAAATTATATAGTGAGAATACTTTATGTTGGCATATGTCAAATATATTTTTGTGATTGACGAAATGATATCTTTTTTTTTCCTTTTTATTTTAATTTATTAAGTGATATTTACTGGTGTGTATTATGTAATATCTGTGTTAGGGAAATTGCAGGAAGAAATACACCAGAAGATAAGCAAGCACATTTTTTTCAGCTCTTTTTCCTCAATAAAGTTTGTAGAACAACATAAAATACTCGAATGAACCCAAAAGTAAGCAGCATTTAAGATCCCTTGAGGAAAATTATGAACATTCTATTAATTCACATTTCTGTCAACGTTCAATCTTAGCTTTTAAGCCCAAAGATTTTGCAACCTTGACATATCTTTTAGTGAAAGAGGTCTAATTGCTGTGGAGATCTCAAAGTTTCAAATGTTTTGAACTTCTGATTTTGTTTATTTCGAGTTACAGATCAAAATATTCAAGGAAATGCACTTGCCAGCGTTGACTGAAATGTACTAGATGATTGCTAAGAGACATCAGCAGGTATGTTAGGGACTCACCTTTTATAGTCAACAATGTTAAAAATAGAAATGGATAAGGGGTTCCTTTTGATTTTTTTCCTTTATTAATTTATGAGGTAAGATTCTGATTTCATATTTTAATAAAAACTTTTCTTCTTTTTCTCTTCCTATCTTGGATTCTATTAGAAGCACACTAAGGGGGTCCTAGTTTTCAGGACGCTAGTGCTCTTGTACACCCGAATTCCCTGCATGCTTCCTCCCTTCCTTTCTTATTACGTGATTGAAACCCATTCCCTATCTCCATTCACTTGATTTTCTGACTGTTCATTTCAACTTGCAGATCCAAATGCTGACGGAAGTGCACTTTCCAGTACTGACAGAAATGTTCCTCAAACTTGCTAATGGTGTTCAGCAAGTATGTTGCGTACTCATTCTTTTAAAGTTGACATTGTTAACAGCACTTATGAATAACTTATAACTGTCCTTTTTGAGTTTTTCTCACTATCATGGGGGGAATCATAACTCTTGAATCCGGAGTAATACTTATGATGTTCTATGCCTACAACATGATTGATATAATCATATTTAGCTCTATTTCTGCATGTTTATGAGCTTGACTCGCATTCCAAGCTGAGATGTTTATTTACCAATTAGTTTGATTACGAGGTGGTTCAGTTTTTAACTTCCTGTCTGTATCACTTAATCAGCAGCAGACTCGCTTTCACAACAAGCAGAGTCAGTTATCTGGGTTTCTTTAAAGGAATTTTGGGACTTTCTCATTCTATGTAGCAATGTCTAAGTGGGAGGAGCTTAGTCCTTCCTACAGGAATGAGTTGGTTGCATATGAGAAGATCATAAATTTTATAAATGCAAATAGGCCCTGGAAAATTATTATATGCAGCCAGGACAGGTGTGCTCTGATGAAAATCAAATAGACGCTCAGTGGGAATTTCAAGAAGTGTACCAAAAGGTAAATATGATATTTCTTACATCTTATACTTCTTCGATGAAATTGGAAGGAGCAGCAGAAAATATTCAAATAAACCCAAAAATTAAGTATTGAAGATCCAGTCGACTGTTTATATTGTAAGCAATTTACACGATGATTTGAGCATAAACGTCTTGAATGAAAAGATTAATAGTAATATTTGGCTGAGTGAAACAGACCTAATTGTTTTGGATATCTCAAGGTTTCACACGTTTTAACTTTTAACAATCTGATTCTGATTATGGGAAGAAATCACCTGATTCTGTTTGTTTCAACTTGCAGATCCAAATGCTTAAGGAAATGTGCCTGCCAGAATTGAGTGAAATGCATCAGATAATCGCTAATAAAGTTTCACAGGTAAGTTGTGCACTTGGTTTTTGGACTGGCCACTTTTACAACCTGACATGGCCTAACAAGTCTATTTGTATCGCCATCAATATATCAATGTAACATATAAATTCTATAACAAGCTATATACTATTCACAAATTATGAACAATGCGATTTATTTTCTAGACCCCTTACAATGTAGAATTTCCTGAACAACTTGATGAAGGTTGCTATAGAAACTCTGAAGCTGTTGAATCAAACTAAAGCCATTTATTGCCTGAGTTTTCTTATTTAACCTTGAATCTGTATCCTTCATATCAGATTGATTCCAGTCCATGGACAATACTCCTAACCGGGTCAGACACATTCATGTCCTATGCCGGGTCACGGCAGAAGCCGGATGAGAGTCCAACGTTCCTGAAAATTAAGGAAATATTGGAGCGGATCATAGCATTCATACAGGCTTCCAAGAGTGACATTTCTCCTGCCATGAAGGAAGAATTACCTTCAATTGAGGACCAGATCATGATTTTTATAAACATAAATAGGTCCAATGCCGTGGAACATCGACAAATTCGCTTCTGTCACAAACTTCATGTGCCACTGTGACAGGAAATTTGGAAGAATTTATTGTGAGTGAAAGTGACTTTGATTAAGTTTATTGTATGCTTTTAGTTTATGTTTCCTGACTTTATGTTGTTTCCTTCCTTTATCTTGTGTTTTGGGCTACCTGAATGGGAGATTCCTTCTCAGTAAACTGGGTTATTTCAGTTATTTTGTATTGAATCAAATATTCTCATTAGTGATGTTTCAGAATTTCTTAGTCCTGATTTTCAAATAAGCTACTATGTTCCTTTACTGAAATTTACATTTCTCCCTCTCTCTTCTTTTTTCCTCCGCTTATTCTTTAGTATTCTTCATCAAGTAATGCAGCACCATTGTCTGATCCCACTGAAAAGTTTGGTATGATGGCCGCCAAGTTCTCAATAATTACTAGACCAGTAGTTTTTGTGTATAAAAATTTGTTAGATTTTTCTGAGCAATAAAATTCTTAATAGGTTTTATCTCCAATTTTCTTATGACAATATCGAAGTGAACAAGTTGTATTAGAGGTATGATACCAGTGAATAAGGGTTTATTGAGAATAACTTATAAACAGTTTTTTAATCATGATTTACAGAATACGAGGTTGATATGAGATAAGTTTTGTTTCGGTTTACATGTTTATAAGTAATTCCGAACGTAATTCCAAAACAAGCCTAAGTTGTATTACTGCTGCCTTGCAAGTTGATATAGGTACTCATCATCTAACGAAGCCAGAAGTTGGAACTAAACTCCCATTCAACTTTACAAGGTTCAATTTTAAAGTGTCCTTTCTCGCTTGGGTATTAGATTCGGGGTTTTTTTTTTTTTTGTCTTTTTTGATAAGCTGGGTGTTAGATTCTTTAGGACCCATGATTGAAAGTTGAAAACAGCCTTGTTTGGTTTAAAATTAAATTGGTTGGACTCAAGAAAAGAAAACTCATGAAATAAATGACTTAGATGTTACTGTTAGGTTAAATTGTATTGTTCATCCGAAAAATAAAATATTGGAAGAATTACTCTTGAATGTCTTACAAAACAACTCAAATTCACAAAAATACTCTAAATTTCATGTCATTTAATTGTAAATAAGCTTAATTCGCATTTAACAAAATGTTATAATCATTAACTGGAAAAACTTTCACCTCCCCATCGTCATCGAGGCTGGATTCCCGCCACTGGTAAAGACCCGTTGCCAGATTTGTAAAAGGCTGGCCTCTCTAACAACAAGATAAATACTCCTCCGGTCCTTAATATAAGACCCCATTTGACTTTTTATTTGGTCCTAATTATAAGACCCCAATCCATTTTGTCTCTTATATTTATGCATTTTTTTCCAAGATAATCCTTCTAATAATGATAGTTTTAGCCAATATACTTAATTAGCAAGGATATTTTAGGAATGACAACACTTATTTATTATAAATAACCAACTTAACTTACTTCCTTAATCTCCTCAAATAAGTCAATTGGGTCTTATAATTAGGACCGAAGAGTACTTCCTTCAATTCTTGATATAAAATTAAATAATTAATTTACGAATATTAAAAAAATTAATTATATTAATTATTTATAATAAATAGGTATTATTTTATCTAAAATATCTTTACTAATCATACGTATTGAAACTATCCTTTTATGAAATCTTTAACATACAACATCATCATAGTAACTACTTTAGGGAAAATTGAATAACTATAAAAATTAAAATAGATTGTAATCTTATAATTACTAAAAGTAATATTAGCAAAGCGGCTTTGGTCTGGGGGTTGAACCTTAGACTTCATCACCAAAAGAACTTATAATCATTGTCCTATGAATAGTAATTGTCAAATTGCTATATTAAAGTTGTCTATTTTTGCTAGATCGTAATTAATAGCAGAGTTGTCAATGTTAAAAATGTGCTACTTTCGATACTTAATATAAGAACTAGTTGACTAATTTAAGTAGATTATAAAAACTAGTTAAGTTAGTTATTTATAATAAATAATTGTTGTCTTTCCTAAAATATCATTACTAATTAAATGTATTAGTTAGAACTATCATTTTTATAAAGATTATTTTGGAAGAAAATAGATAAATATGAGAGACAAAGTGAATTGGGATATTATATTTATAATCAAAATAAAAGTCATACGAGCTCTTATATTAAGGACCAAATGTAGTATGTAGTTATGGTATTTGTCAAATTTGTTATGCTTCTGGTCCTTAATATAAGACATAATTGTTGAGTTAATTTTAGTCCTAAATATATGAGCTATTTGTTATATTTATTAATTTTTTTATATGATCTTTATTGATACTCCCTTAACCATAATCAAGTAGTAGAAGAATGGAGGATATTAAGGAAAATAATTATGATATTTTAGAAAAAAAAAGCCATATTGCTTATCATTAATTAACTAACTTAACTTTGTTAATCTAATTAAATTAGCTAAATAAGTTTTATATTAAGGATAGAAGCACTATAATGTAGTTGTAAATTGTTTATATTGAAATTGTCTTCCTGTTGTTGAGTAATTGTTAGTGGAGTTGTTCATTTGACAGCTACCTTATCAAAATTAGTTATCAATTAACTATAAAAAGTTTTTAATTTCCATCGGAAAATTGTCAATAGAGTTCATCTTAAAATGAAAACATTCATTGACAATTTTTCTATCAAAATTTCTAAGTTTATTACATGTACAACAATTTGCATTATATTACTAAGTAAACTCAATGGCTCAATGATCACAATTTATTTTTGGCAATCAAAAGGTCGAGACTCAAGCCCTGCCAGAGCTACTTTACTAATATCTACCTTCTCGGTAAGCGGGTGGCTCCGGCGGCTCTGGCGATTGGCGAGGTGTTTTGGCATCGGTGGCAATGCGAAGGGGAAGAATTTTTCTAAGGGCATTTTGGGAGAACATGAAACTTTAGTACTACTTCCAATCTTTAATATAAGACCTCATTTGACTTTTATTTTGGTCCTAATTATAAGAACCCAATCCATTTTGTCTCTTATATTTATGTATTTTTCTAAGATAGTCCTTCTAATAATGGTAGTTCTAGCCATTACACTTGATTAACTAAGATATTTTAGGAAAGACAACACATGTTTATTACAAATAACTAACTTAACTTACTTCATTGATTTTCTCAAATTAATCAACTAACTCTTATAATTAGGACCGGAGGTAGTATGTCTGAGTGATTTCAGAGAAATTCTTAGGTACTCTGGGAGCACCACGTAACTTGAACACTCTCCAATAAAAACACACCAACTCAATCAATTGCAGGCCCACTTGTCAGCCTATGTGGCTCTTTTTCAATTGAAAATATTTCACAAAAAAGTTCTGCCACAATCGCTTCTCTCTCCCGTTTTCCAATAACACTCTTTCTTAAATTTTCTCTCTCTTCTCTGTTTTCCTTCCGCCTTTCTTGACGCCTTTTCCGAGTCTTCTCCTTCTTTTTCATCTTCTTTCTTATTCTTATTTTTCTTCACTGGTTTCTCTCTCCCCATGCTTCTTTTCGCCAATTTTTTTCTGGAGATGAAAAATTGCATTATAGCACACTAAGGTCCTGAGCATAACAGAGTTCAAGTGAGATATAGCATTTTCACTGAAATTAAAGAGCTGAGTCCACGTGCACAGCATTTGTTCAAAATTTTTAAACCCCTCTGGTGCCATTTTGCTGCTGCTAAGTTTGTTGAAGGATGAAAAATGAAGGAAGGAGCTGAAGCATGGGCGAGCAAAAATAGCTCTCATAATCTCAAGATTCATCGAGTGCTCATGAATAAGATGCTGTCCAGGATGGCACCCTTCAAATGGCTTGAGCACGAGCTAATCTTGGCTAACATAACGCCGGCGCCGGCGTCGGGCATTGTGGCAATGGAGACGTGGTGAAAGTGGGAGAAGCTGAGTAAGAGGGCTTTTGGGGGGGGAAGGAAGGGGCAAATGGGCTATTAGGATAGAAATGCAGGAAGGAGGAGAGAGAAGTTGGTAAAGGATGATGAGAAAGAAGGAGAAAAGAGACGGGAAAGATGAGGAGGAAAAGTGCAAAAGAGAGAGAAAATTTGAGAGGGGCGTAGTTAAAAAGAGGAGAGAGAAAAGGTTATAGTAGAATTTTTTATAAAATATTTCCTATTAAAAATGAGCCACGGAAGCTGACAAGTAAGCTGACAAGTGGGTCTGCAATTGATTGAGTTGGTGCGTTTTTATTGAAGAGTGTTCAAGTGACATGGTACTCTCAGTCTCAGAGTATCTAAGAATGCCTCGTGATTTCAAGGGACCTTTTCTTAACCTCGTTGTTTTGGTCTCCCTCCTCGAGTTCAGTTTAGTTTCATATTTGATCCAATGATAATTTCGATTATATTTATTTCTAGGTAGGAAAAAGTAAATTAAATATTATATTTCTTTTTGCCAATTAGTAAAGGACATATAAAAGTGTCAATATCAAGCTCAAATCTAGATCCTCATCCAAACATGACAAGTTACTATTATTAAGATAACTTGCCATTAATTCAAACACTATGGATAAAAACCATAAACGAGGAGTCATTATCATTTTCAGTATGATAATGTCGAAATATAAATAAAAAATAAATGTATTTGAATATGAATTAGTTACTACTTAATATTATTGGATGCTAGATGATTATCACACAAAATGCATAGTTATATGGTAAATTTGGACTATTAAGAAAAATCTCTTATGGATGTGTTTCTATGTGTTTTACAAACCCACTTGATTCATTATCCATAACAAAGATACATATTTAAAAGAATAAAATGAAACTATTTAATTAGTAGTGGACCCATTTTTGTAATGGCGTACAAAAAGGAATATCATTAATTGATGTGGAGTAACTCGTGATTTTATTGTACATCAATGATTTTACAAAAATTAATTGATCATTGATGCTTCTCCAATCAAATAGATTAATTTTGGAAATAACAATCCAGTATATGAATTCTCTTGGGTTGATGAATTGAGACCTAAAATTTCACATGAACCCAATTGATTTTGTGAGGGTTCAATAGCAATTT